AGGAAAACATTATTGTTATTACTATATAATATGTATACATTGTTCGCCTTTTGTGAGCAGCTCACACCCTTATATATACCATCACACACACAAATAAATACATATAAGTAGGTACCTATGTAACTGTACTATATATGTATATAATATTATATTGATCGAATAATTACCAGGCAAGTCACAATTATTAAATTATTATTACAGTATACCTATAAGTGCATATACATATATATAATATACTGTATAGTACTGCAGGTATTCGCCTTGTGTTGTGTGGACGGGAAGATGCGGTGACGGCAGCGGACAGGTGGCGTACCCTTACGATTCGTTCCGACAGTCGTCGTCGGTATAGTACTATATTCATATTATGAACGTTGTGGTGTTTACCTCTTATATAATAATAATAATATAATATACATATGTGATATGTCCGTGTATATATTGTTATAAGAACGTATTATGTTCAGCTATATATCGTCTCGTCCCCGCGCATTTTCTTCATTAACCGACGGCAGTCCGTTATGCTTGAAGGCGACCGGGATTGCTATAATATATATAGGTACGTACAATAATAATATTATACACGCGGGGTCCCGTCAAACAGTATTTGGGTCAGACATCCATTAGGACCAAATGCGCCCCGACATCACTCCACACCCAATTCCCTCAAGTTACGTCTGTTTCAATCAAATTACATGCGTCCCATATGGATGATGATGATGATGATGATAATGATGATTATATGAAGATAATGATGACGAAGACGATGATGTATATCCGAATGTATATTAAAAACGCTTTTAAATAACTATGCGCGCATTGTCATATACACACGCACAAATGCAAACACACGGAAGCTGAGTTATAACATATAAATACCTATAATACCCACCTAGCTATTATACCTTAGTAAATTATTTCCCTACGTCAACGGTGTGGCGCGACGAGACACTGTTATTAAAATGTTTACAATATGTAGGTACGTACTCGTAATATAAATTGTATACAAAATAAATTATTTAAACGTACATATACCTAGGTATAATAAGAATATTCACTGATCAAATATATTTTGATGCCGTTACATGTATATTATATAGTTTCGTGTCAAAAATAATGGACGTCGTTTTTGACTGTATGCTATACTTATACCCTATAATAACCTGACAACGAAAATACGAGATTTATATTATCAATTATGTATCTACTAAAACAGGACGTTTAGCGGCGCATGATGAGATCCGATTAAAATCATCCGTCGAGAGTCGCAAATATAATACAACGTGAACGATCGACGATAATATTATGTATTATATAATATGGAAAATAACACAGGAGTCATTATTTTATATATTAATTAAACAAGCTACTTCGTTATCGTGTACACGTATCTATAGGTACAACGACGGTTACCGAAATATATAGGTGTATAGTGTATATAGTTATATATATTTATATATTTGTACAATAATATAGAAGACTTTATTACCTTTATTTGTTCCTGGCAATGACAAAATCCTGCAGCAGACTATATTGAGCCGCGTCGACTCGAAGACTCGTATAGTCGTATAGTTGCAAAACAATCGATATTAGTGGTACCTATATACCTGCTATTGGGTACTCCTCATTAGTAAAAAAAAATTTTAAAAAATGCGTCATTGTATTGTTGGACGAAAAAAAATATCAAAAAACCAGACTCGGAGACTTTAACGATGGCTGTGGTTACTGCTGCAGCAGTGTCTTCACATGCACGGTTCTGCCTCTACGCGTATCATGTTCATATATATACATTATACATGGGTAATTTATATAATTTATTGCACGGTATATCTCGTTGTGTACCATTCAGACCCCGAATCAATCGAGAGGTTGGTTTTTTTTCCCTCGTCCGTATATAATAATATATGTAATATAACATCAAGCCATGTGTACCTTCTATAATACACATACATACAATATATATATATATGTATAATTTACTTAAACCTCCGGTAGCCCGGCGATACCCATCGTCGTCGTCTTCGTCGTCAATGGACGGCAGCCGGTTTGGTCGGGTGGTTCACGCGAACTGTAAATGGGAACCCATACACTAGCACAGTCGTGTTCTATTCGTCGTATATATTCGTAATATTAATATACACTAGTGGATCGCGTGCAGCACGGAATAGTGGGAAAACGTGTAGATATTATAATATAATATACCCATGGATATTGGTATTGGTACCTATATGCTATATAAAGTCGATCGAAACGTCTGATTATATTTGAGATTGGTATTAGCTGACTCGAGCGCGAGCGCGCTCACAACAATATCGAATATAGAGACGGATAGAGATATATGAAAAACTTCCATCCGACGAATAGTAATAATATATAATAAAGTGGTCATAATGATGGAAATCACCTACGGAGTGATTTAGCGATTTTTCTTGGTCACACCTATACATGAGGCAACAGTATGTACCGCGATCGAGGGGTTATATCGAAGTAATGCATGTACTACAATATAACCCGGGCATGGAGTATAAAAAAATATATAAATACCTAGGTATAATATGAAAACAATAATAATTACAATTTTTTTATTTCGTATGATTCCTCTCGATGATGTGATTATTATTATATTAATACGTGTGTGTATATATCAGCTAGCTATGTTTATATTATATATTATAATAATATTATATGTATAATACGCGCACGTCGGAATAATATAAATATTATAATATACGCTCCGCGTGACGCGCACGGAAACCGGTACGCGGCGATGGAAACACGCAAGTGCCCGCGACGTTTCGCGCTGCAGACTCCCCTAGGCCGGATGACCGGTGCAGCGACGGCGGCGGCGGCTGCTGCTGCTGCTTCTATGGCCATCGGGTCCGTGTCGTGCGGACCTCTCTCGCGACCTTGGCGTGCGCCGAACAGGTGCCGACTTAACTATCCTCTGCCCCCCTCCCCCCTGAACTCCTCCCGATATGACTTTTTTCCCGTGTTCGGGCGCGCGCGCGCTTCCCGACAGCCAGCGGAGTATACCTGTAATAGTCGTAATACGCCGCGGACGATATAATAATAATATTATACCTCTACAGCCGCTTAAATACCTTCCTAGCTGCCGAGTGTAGGTTAGGTTTACACATATAATATATATATATGTAAATAATAACTCGCCGTTCAAATTATATTCGGGTTTTCGACTGCTCGCTGTTTGAGTTGGTTCGTTTTGCGTTTATCGTCAAAAAATGTCTGCGCGTGGTATAATTTAATATTGTAATAATCGCAGGAACCGCGCGTGGTTCGTACATAATATCTATTATGGGTACCTAAATAATATTATAATATGTGTATTTTATGCTGCAGACTGTGCCCGAAATTTCGTTTTTTCCTCCCGCAGTGTGTTCACGATTCATAGGTGAACAGGTGCCAGGTGATAGAAAAACATTACATTTGTCGACCAATTATTATTATACACGAAGTGGGATTGAGAGAACTAATAAATAATTATACGGCCATAATTGCACGGTGTATGCACGTGCTCGTGTCTTATGTGTGCATGTACGAGTATGACGACTGTGCTGGCGCAGAACTTCTGAACTTCTGGGTATAATAAGCGGGCGAAAACGCGTTGAAGTGTTGATCGAGTGGTTGGTACATGAGATCATTTGAAGACTGCACCTATATATACTAAAGTAGTTTGGGATTAAGTTTAGCCCCCCCCCTCTTTCCACCCATTCAATGTAACCTCCTCGTATTCCACGATTGCAAGCAATAATTCCATATGTATGTTTCTATTTAATCTATATTACCTAGTATAATTGAGTATGTTATAGCCGTTAATGCTAAAAAGAATTGATCATTGACGCTCAATATACAATACAATAATAAAAATTATTTCAATGTTAACAAGACGCATTAAAATATTAAATAATAATATAAGAATGTCACGAAACATCCATGTGACTGATCCAGGGGGTTACTCTGACGTCTTTATATTATGTCCATATAGACGCCACTAAACACGTAATATTATTATTACTATTATATTATATAGCAATATAAAGCATATTTACATAGGTATAGTACCTACTACCTACGCTTTACGCGCGATCGACTGTAATGTGAGATACGCAAAAGTGCAGAACGATGTATACCCAGCTGTATTATATAGTACCTATCACATATATTTTAATAGATTATTTTACCCGCGAGACCGTAAAATAAATCATTTCTGAACAAACCGTACCTACCCGTAGTATACCTATATACACAGCCAACACTGTATATTACGACGAACGTTATGACGCCCGCAGATAAACCGCGACCGCGGTTATGGTTTTTATACGATAGGTGTGAGCGTAATGTGTATAAAAGTAATATTATTATTTATTATTATTGTCCGGACACCGGAATGACCGCGGCGCCCGCGGACGCCTGTATATAATATAATACGTCGTCGTCATTCTTCGCGAGTCACATACCTATAACATTATATTATTCGTATTATAAATACTATACGTCGTTGATGGTTTTTAATTTTTTATCGCCGGGTTTTTTTTTTGCCACGGATCAATTACAATATTACACCCGTGACATTATTATATGATAATAATATGCCCAACCCAAAGTCCGGTGGCCGGTGTGTTTACGATTCGAAATCGACGTATATGTTAAAATAATAAATCGCGCAATATATACCGGTATAATAATAATGTATAGTGGTCGTCGGCGGCGATCGGTTTTTACGACCCAGACGGTAGAAAACGGTTATTTCGTATTTAACGTCCTCGTTGAAAACTCAATTAAAACCGTCCGTAAACGACAGCAACACCGCCCGGCGCGGACTATATACCCATATAATAATATCATAATATATAATACGTGTAATAGGAAGAAAAATACGATATAATAATAATTATGTATACGTGTGGCTGATTAAATTGATACGTTATCATATAATATCAATATGATTATTATTATAAATTTTAATGTGGTGTGTTTGCTTGCAGGAGAAACCGCACAAGTGCACACTGTGCGCCAAGTCTTTCCCGACGCCCGGCGATCTGAAATCTCACATGTACGTGCACAACGGATCGTGGCCTTTCAAGTGTCACATTTGTAACAGAGGATTCAGCAAACACACAAATCTGAAAAATCACCTGTTCCTGCACACCGGTAAGTGAGTTGTAGTTTGTTTTTATTACATGTTTTGGTGATTCTATACTAATTGCACACTGAAAATGTTTTCACCGAGTATAAATCGATGCTGATCATAATAATAATCGACCTATAATGGGATTTAAAATTTATAAAGCCCATAAATATATAGTACAACTGTCTGTGCATAAATAAACCGTTTTGGCGCACCCAGGTTTTAAGTACGAGTGATTATATTTTTAACGAGATTCAGTCAATGTCTCCGTAATAATAATTAGCATTTTAATAATTTTTGGAAAATGATCTATTTTAACTTTTATAGACTGCTATATTCATTTAAACGGCCTTCAAATAATCACCTTAATTAATATAAGTGATCATTTTATGTTTATTGAGCTTTCAGTAGGATGATAACAGCATGACTTTTTCAGAAAATATTACCTACAGCAGACTTAATTATATAATGCTACCTGTATATTTCAATACACACCACTTTTGCGAGGTAGTCGACATCATCATCAGATAAAATATAATATTATTAATAATATGCACCTGTATAGTGTATACTAACATTAGGACGAATATTGCCCCCGTACATACTGGTCGTATAAAAATATTTTCATTATGTCAGAGGATCGTATGCCGAGGGCAATCGGTATTTTTATTACGATCATTATTATCATTTTTTTTTTTTTACTTCTCGTCGACTCGACGGTCGCTGCACGCATATATAGTATATACTTATAACGTACCTATATGTACCGTGCCACGTTGTCCAGGTAGGCGATCGTCTCCACCGTGGTCGCCGGATGGACGGGATTTCGGGGACCCTATGTTTTTTATTTTTATATCTCTTTAATCCCGCGCGTTAATGGAATTCGTGTTTTCGCCTCCCATCGCACATACACACTCGCGGCCTCGACAGAAGTACAGACTCTGCTATACATATACAAACACACTTACACACGCACGTGTAGATCTTTATATATATACATATACGCACACAACGTAGGTGGGTTGGTATTACGTAGACAGGTATAGACGGTAGGTAGGTAGGTATTTGGTACATGTACATAAAATATAAATATAGTATGTATGTGTGAGTGCCTGTGCTTCGGGGCTGCCCCAAAGTGATACGATACCTGGTCCACGCCGCCACCGCCGTCGTTTTCATATTATTATTAAGGCGGCGGCAACAGTAGCTCGAGCTGCAGCGCCCGTTGATAATATACTATACACGTATACACTATATACATAGGTAGCAATAATATGAACCATTGACGCTTAGGTTCTCTGGAGACCGGCTGAAGTAGATGTATAAATGTAGATACTTGATAGAGAGAGATAGACAGCAAGTGAGAGATGTACTTTCGAACGTGCGTGGTATCGGCTACCGGACTTTGATGATATATACGCGCGTGTTGGTCGTATAAATATTTTTTTTTTATTATTATTATTGACTGTGCTGGTTTGCGGGGTTTAAGTCGATTACAGACGACTAGAACAGCATAATATACATAATATGATGTTATTATATGTTCTTAGTAGCATTCACACTCGCATATTTACGTCACGTGTAATGGAGGCATGTGCAGCACGATGCAGCGTGTATCTGTACTATCCATCACTTGTGACTTGTGATTGCTGCACCACTGCTGCAGTTACACATTATCAGTGCTATCAATTTAGGCACAGGGATATATGATCTTCGATATTCAGTTTTTAACTTCATCTTATTATTATATCACCTGCAGGCAACAAATAGGTATCAATATAATAGGTATCTATTAAATATTATATTCACCCAGAAATCTCAGAACGAACGGTGCGACTGTATTGTGAAAACTAGTTAAATTTAAATTAATTGTGTAATAATGCTTAACAACTGTGCAATATTGGAAAATTAAAATATTCATATAAGAGGTAACAATATGGGTACAGCATATTTGTACTTTGAATAAATATTCACAAACATATATATATTAAAATAATATGCACCTACCTAAATAATCAACTATTTATACGTTTAACCGCACGTTATTAAAAATTATTCTGACGCCCTTGAGGCTTTTATAATTTCATATTCAGTTTTTTTTTTTAATATTAGTATTCATACGCACGCATAAATAAAAACGACGTTTTTAGTTTGTATTTAATCATAACACATAGGTATTTACGTGTTGCGCTGGAAACTATATCATAAACAGTAATAAAGTTGTAGGTAGCGAGAAATATATTGTTCATTTCAATACGATCTTTAAAAGAACTCAATCTAATTTATTTTTATACGTTATAACTTATAAATTATAATATTATATTATGTAGAATACTAAAATGGATATTGTGTTTATAATATAACCCATAAGTACTACTGCCGCGATTAATATTATATTTACACGACGTTGCCGCGTACCGTCGTGATGGTAAAAGTTTTTTATTTTTTTATTCAACAACCGTCTCGATTTAATATAAACTCGTGGTATTAATTAAATTAATATTATAATATGCTCATTACGACGTTTTAATAGAGTCATACACGCGTCTTACATCGGTTTTGTTGTACTTTTATATTTTATATAAGTTATATTGTAAGAAACAGATATATCTGTACCTATACTGCATCTACGACAGCTGCAACTGCCGTAAGTGCTATTAGGTTATTTCTTCATAGTTTTATTATTTCTTAATCGAGTGCCGTATTGACATAAAAATGTGTGCATGTATATACAAATCACGTAATAATAGATTCGATAAATTAAAAAAAATCCATATACGTAGGTCTTAGAATAATAGGCGCGTTTCCTGAGCGTAATATGTATAATATATTAGTTCCCTATATAATAAATATATCATGTACATTATACGTAGGTACAATAACATATATAGTATAATACGTTCCAAACATTGCGACCATTTTTACACCAGGTGTTATTGTTTTTTTTTCTTATTATTATTTATTGGGTAACGTTATGTTATTATTTTCATATTATGGGCGCGTGCCTGCAACCCGTGTGGTTGACAAGTTGGAATGCGACGCGACGCGCCAACAATTATATATTTTATATTATCATTATTATTAGTTTCACATAATTCATAAGTATAACTTATTATAAGTCGTAAGTATTACGTAGGTTTATACGAGTGTTATATTATTGCATATATATATACACTTATGTATGTATACTTAAATGGGTACACATGGTATCGCCGGCAGTCGGCATTTAAATATACATATATATATATATATATATTTATACGTTTATATATTTTTATAAATATATTATTCGTATTATTGCAGGTTAGGTATACCTAGGTATAGGTTGGTTAGGTTAGGTAACACTTGCTTGATGCATTTGCGTTTACAATAATTATAATATTATCATAGTAAACCTAAACCATGTGTATTGATCATTTTTCCGATCGACGCAATTTTTTTTTGCCATAACATATAATAATCGCCCTCCGGCCACCGACGACGGCGTTGTGTACACATTGTAGTTACCTATATAATACCTATATGTATATAGTTGCTGTGGATACAAGCGTTGCGCACCATATTATGTACCTATACCTATATTATATATGCGGAAATTTAGACCTTGACACTGGTGTAGTGCAAACAGGCGCGTGTCAGCTTTCGAGGGCACGCCGGTAACGTTTATACCTGTACATAAACATATTATACCTATGTTGCCCGACTGCTGCACGCTATATAAAGTGCACGTAATAGCTTTGGCGTTTTGCGTTTAAACCCGTTCTTGAACTTGGACGCGAAGGATATTAATTCATACCTCTCTCAGTCTCGTTCATATTTTGAAATCGAATTTCAATACGCCGTAAATCGTAATCATAATATATTTTATATTTACAATTTTATTGACTGTTGTGTTATACGATGGTTATATTTAATCGGAGCTAAAATATACTAATATTGATGTTTATTGCTTATGCTATTGTTTGAAGAAAGGCTATAAATAGTGTAATTATTCATACTTCATAATATATATTATTGGTGCTAGTTGGGGTGAATAATATATTAATTTTTGATTTTACTATATATGTTCAGTTGTGTCGTTCAAAGTTGGTCTTATTTTAATTTAATTTTTACCGTTTTTGTCAATGATTTCTATAGATACACTTGAAATCCCGTTCATATTTTGCATATTATATTTCTAATATTTACCAACGCAGTAATTGACCCACAGTACTGCATGAATGGTTTCCAAAATGGTTTTTTTGCGAATAACCGACCGATTTGAATGCCATGTTCGCTTATATTGCCCATTTGTCAGGCGGGAATACATACGCCTTAGTATAATAAATACAGCCATTACCACCGTATTTGTCTCATAAAATGAAGACTTCCACAAACGTTCGCGAGAGACACGCATTTAGAAATGCGTACTAAATAAATTAAGCCGTTAACGGTTGTCTTTTACTCGTTTTTCCTGAATAAAATATAGTTTATTCGCTTACGAGCATTACTAAGGCAGGACTATAAAACCCAACCAGTTTCGTAATTAATAAAACAAAAATAAATATAATACTCACTAAATACACCATAATAATATATTGTTTTAATAGTTAAAACGACAATTCAATTTAATTTATTGTCCTCTTAATTCCTCGGAGACCTACTTGAAAAGTAGAACGTTGTCACCAAAACAATAACATTATAATGCCTGAAAACATAACATTAATGTTGGATATAGATATTTTAATCGAGTATTTCAAGTCGATTGAATTTTATTACTGATTAAATATTTTATTGATACTAAACAATTGCTACGACATAAAAATACGTAGGTATCTATCTTGCCTATGACTAATGTAATTTATAGACGTAAGTAGTGTGACGAAACTCACCTGCATGCACGCGCAGCCGTGTAATTATAAATGCGAAGTTAAATTAATCAATGTGTTTATCAACATAATAAAAAAACAATATACTGTTTTCACAATTTTACAGGTATTGATTCAATCTTCTAGCACTAAATATGTGTAATATATAATTGTAT